TGGAACTCCTTCTCCCCCCCCCCGCAAGTATCGCGGGTCCCCGCTTCTTGTTGTATCTATAATGCTGTTGTCAGATGTAGAGTATTTTGTGTTTTTCAGGACAGGAAACCTTGCAATATTTATTTTTAAACTCTCTTCTTTCCTGTTGAAATTGTGTTTATGTTTTTGAATGTCAATGGCTTTCCTGTGTAATCTGACATGGTAATTGGATGTGTTGTCCAGCCTTTCAGTGTCTTGGAATAAGATACTGTGTCCTGTTTGAGTTAGGCTGTGTTCAGCCACTGCTGATTTTTCAGGTTGGCCCAGTCTGAAGAAGAGAAGAAATTGTGCATACTTTTTGGTAACGGAGGACGTTTTGGGGTTGTTGTTGGTTGCTGTGCCTTCTTTGAATGCGTGAAGCTGCCTTTGACCGAGTACGAACCTTGGGCTCGCCAGGTCCTCTTTGCCCGCTCTGACTGGCAGCCGCTCTTCAAAGCCTTTCACGTCACCTACTGCCCGATTCCTTTTTTGTTTGTTTGGAGATTGGACCCAGGCGTTCTGCACACAAGCAGATTGTCTGCCCCTGAGCCAGGACCCTGCCCTCTCCTCTCGGGGGCTACGAGGCGTGAAGGGGGCACGTAGTTCAAAAGCTCTTTACTGCATTGGAGGGGTGGGAGGGAAGGAATGAACAGGCAAATGATCCAAAACATTGAGAAATGGCTTCCATTCAGGTGGGGCAGCTGTGTTGGTCTGAAGCAGCAGGAAAAAGTTTTGAGTCCGGTGGCACCTTTCAGACCAGCCAAGTTTTATTCCGGGTATAAGTTTTCGTGCGTGCGCGCACTTCTTCAGATACGATGAAATGGGAATTACCAGTCCATACATGTAGGTAGAGGGTGAGCGGTAAATTAGCATACAACGTAATTAAGATGTTCAACAGATTCAAGGACCAAACAGGAATAACAAGCTTAGTTTATATGGTTACCATTTGTTTGGGTTTAATTCTGGGGGTAAACATAGTGGAAGGAAATAAATATATTAAAATTGGAGATGGGTGGGCAGATGTATCCTTAATTGTGGAATGGCGAGTCTCAGTCAGTTACTCTCAGCATTCCACAATTAAGGATACATCTACCTATCACTCTCCAATTTTGACATTTATTTCCATATATATGGAAAGAGAAGGCTTAGAGGGGACACGATTGCAGCCTTCAAATATTTGAAGGGCTGTCATGTAGAAGATGGAGCTCTTCTCTCTTGCTCCGGATTGCCAGTCTCTTGCTCCGGATTGCACGACTTGATCTAATAGGTGGAAATTACAAGGGAGTCGTTACCGGCTAAATATCCGGAGAAACTTCCTAACTGTAAGAGTGGTTGAGCAATGGAACAGACTGCCTCCGGAGGTGGCGGATGCTCCTTTGCTGGATGTTTTCAATCGGAGGCTGGACGACCCTCTTTCGGGTATGTTGTAGGGCTAACTTTTGGCTCTGCTCCTGCAGAGTGCAGAGGGGGGTTGGACTAGGTGACCTGCAAGATCCCTTCCAGCTCTAACATTCTATGATTCTATAACCTTATATATTTCTTGTCTTGTTTTTTTTCCAGGATATGAAGCAAAGGCCTCTGGGAAAGCAGCCAAAGGTAGGCAGGTTCCTGCAGTGACTTTGGATGAAAGTTCCAGATTTCAGTTCCTGGCTGTCATCTCACCTGTGGTGGGGCTCATTCTTTTGCATGGTTTTTCCCCTTAAACATTCTGTTTGGGAAAAGGGAGCACTCACTGGAGAAGACCCTGATGCTGGGAAAGACTGAAGGTCAAAGAAGACGGGGATGGCAAGGGATGAGATGGTTAGACAGTGTCATAGATGCAACGGACATGAAATTGAGCAAACTTCAGAGGACGGCAGAAGACAGGAAGGCCTGGCGGGATCTGGTCCATGGGGTCGCAAAGAGTCGGACTCGACTGTGCGACTGAACAACAACAAAAGGTCCTATTTTGCCTCACTTTTTGTGTTCCTTATAAACCTGAGCGCAGGACCTTCGTTGGTCTTAAAGATGCCACTGGACTCAGACTTGGTTCTCTTTGACCATCGTCTCTTAAAACGAATGATTTTCTTGTCCCTTGAAAAACTGTTTATGAATCGGGTATGTTGTAGGGCTCTCTTTCGGCTGTGCTCCTGCAGAGTGCGGGGGGTTGGACTAGATGACCTGCAAGGTCCCTTCCAACTCTAACACTCTATGATTCTAATCCCCTACCTATCTTTGTAGAATTTATTCTATATGCTGTGAAGTATGAAAAGGTTGGTAATTATATGTGTTGATCCCTCTAAGCTGGGGAGTCTTGTGAGCAAACCTACTTTGTGAGCTACTGGCATTAAAGTTGTGAGCAAGCAATTTGGCTGCTGCATAAATTAGTTTGTTCTGGAGCCCATCCTTCCTGAGCTAAGGCAAAAATGTGTGAGTTGGAGGCTAAGAAACTGTGAGCTAGCTCACCCTAACTCAGCTTAGAGGGAATACTGGTGTTGACAATTTTCTGCCGTTTCTCTGTGCCGCTCAAAGGCTTGCCCATTGCTTGAGCCTCCTGATGGATGAGCAGCGCTCTGTGCCAAATGCCAGGCTGGTTCTGAGTTTGTTCTCTTTGTCCCAGGTGCCCAGTTTGATTGGCAGGATGCCCTGCTGCTGGAGAGCCTCCTGACCAAGGAAGAAATTATGATCCGGGACTCCTTTCGCACGTACTGCCAGGAAAAACTCATGCCCAGGATCCTCATGGCCAATCGAAATGAAGGTATGCTGGTTTTTTAAATTACTGACTGAGCACCTTTAGCGTGGTACATTGTGCCGTAGGGACCAATGCAGAATTCCGGTTCCTCCTCAGAAGGGTAGGATGCTCGGTTTTCTCTGGGAGGCTTGTGGAAGCCTTAATCGGCTGTGACGTCTCACATGGGCCCAGTCACGGCCACTTCTAAGCATCATGCCAGTCTGCTGATTTGCTGCCTTGGACACAAGAGCTTCGTGTGTGTGTGTGGGGCATCTGCGAGCGGGCCGTGACTCAGTGGCAGAGCCTCTGCTTGGCATGCAGGAGGTCCCTGGTTCAATCCCTGGCAGCATCTCCAGTTAAAAAGGACCGGATGATGTGAAAGACTTGAGATTCTAGGAAGCTGCTGCCAGTCTGAGTAGACAATACTGACCTTGATGGACCAGAGTTCTGATTCGGTACATAGAAGGCAGCTCCATGTCTGTTCATGTATGAAACCCTGCTTTAGGGGAAGGGCTGTGGCTCAGTGGCAGAGCCTCTGCTTGGCATGCAGGAGGTCCCTGGTTCAATCCCTGGCAGCATCTCCAGTTAAAAAGGACCGGATGATGTGAAAGACTTGAGATTCTAGGAAGCTGCTGCCAGTCTGAGTAGACAATACTGACCTTGATGGACCAGAGTTCTGATTCGGTACATAGAAGGCAGCTCCATGTCTGTTCATGTATGAAACCCTGCTTTAGGGGAAGGGCTGTGGCTCAGTGGCAGAGCCTCTGCTTGGCATGCAGGAGGTCCCTGGTTCAATCCCTGGCAGCATCTCCAGTTAAAAAGGACCGGATGATGTGAAAGACTTGAGATTCTAGAGAGCGGCTGCCAGTCTGAGTAGACAATACTGACCTTGATGGACCAGAGTTCTGATTCGGTACATAGAAGGCAGCTTCATGTCTGCTCATGTATGAAACCCTGCTTTAGGGGAAGGGCTGTGGCTCAGTGGCAGAGCCCCTGCTTGGCCTGCAGAAGGTCCCAGGTTCAATCCCTGGCACCTCCAGTTAAAACAAGGACCAGGCGGGAGGTGATGTGAAAGACCTCTGCCCGAGACCCTGGAGGGTCTGAGCAGACCGTACTGACCTTGGTGGACCCAGTGGGACCTGATTCAGGAGGAGGCAGCCTTACGTGTTCATGGGGTACTTTAAAGACCCAATATTGGGGGGCAGTAGGAGAGTCCCATGACGTCCTCTGCGTCTCGTGGATCCTCGAAACTGCAACTTCACGATGAGCATGAGATAGTTCTCTGGCTGTTCGTCCTCCAGTGCTCTGGAGGAATCTTGCCCTTGTGGCTGCAGAGGACACACACAGCTACAAATCCACGTGCTGGGCCAAAATTTCGGGTCTGGGGAGAATGGGCAGGAGCACACATGTGTCACTGTAGCTCCCACGCCTGTGTAGCTTCCGTAAAAACCACCCCTTTGGCCTCACCTGCACAGTAGCCACCCTTCAGGGGTGACTAGTGTGTTGCGATAGCTCTCACGCCACAAAACATCGCCTTCATAGAATCACAGAACAGAATCATAGAGTTGGAAGCCCTAGAGACCCTCTAGTCCCACCCCCCGCTCAATGCAGGGTCAGCCTAGAGCAGTGGTGGCGAACCTATGGCACGGGTGCCAGAGGTGGCACTCAGAGCCCTCTCAGTGGGCACGCGTGCCATCGCCCCAGCCAGGCCCAGACCGTCATTAAAGTGTCGAATTCTCTGCCAAATCATTTTAAGTCAATGAAAGCATTTGGGATTGCTATCCTTACTTTGTTTGGATCATCTTAAGTGAATGTATGGGTTGATTTTTCTAAAGTAAAACCTCAGTATTCAGGTTAAATTGCCGTGTGGGCACCTTGCGATAAATCTGTGGGTTTTGGGTCGCAGTTTGGGCACTCGGTCTCCAAAAGGTTCGCCATCACTGGCCTAGACCATCCCTGGCAAATGTTCATCCAGCTGCTGCTTGAAAGCCTGCCAGTGTGTGGGGGAGCTCACCACCTCCCCAGGCAGCCGATTCCACTGCTGAGCCACCCTTACTGTAAATTGTTCTCTAATATCCGACCCGTACCTTTCCTCCCATAATTTAAACCCATTATTCCGAGTCCTGTCCTCTGCTGCCAAGGGGAACGGCTCCCTGCCCTACTCTAAGTGACCTCCTTTCAAATACTTTGAGACAGCCATCATGTCCCCCCCCCAACCTCCTCTTCTCCAGACTGGGCGTCACCAAGTCCTTCGGCCTTTCCTCATAGGGCTTCTTGGTCTCCAGGCCCCCGATCACCCTCACTGCTCTCTTATGGCACCAGCTTCGTTCTGCCCACATCCTTTTATAGCGCAGAAGGTTTGATGGGCCTAGAGAGCTCTCTGTTACAGGCTGCGGTCAGACGGCGTGCTGGGAGCGGTTTAAACAGCTCCGGCCCTGATGCGGTCTTTTTTAACCTGGAGAATCGCGATCACACTCACCTCCTTGCTCCGGATCGCTGCGCAGCCACCATCGCTCCCCGCCGTCCACACGCGACAGCGTGCGTTGGTGCTTTTTTCTCTCTCTCTCAGTTTGGGCATGCGCACAGGCGGCCATCTGTAGCACTAAAAATTTCGCACATGCGCAGAACAGTGATTGCCACTTCAACCCTTCCCTTTAAACTTTAAAGGAACACTTCCCTTTAAACGTTTATCCCGAAAATGGCCTCCGTGAGATCCTGAACTCGTCTAAAGGCTAAAACTAGGCACCATTTAAACATTGTTTTTAATAACACGGTGGCGGGGCTCCGCCTATGTGCACGCCGCCAATGCTTTTTTAACAATGACGGGCAAAAAGCCGAAGCCTCGGGCAGCTTTCGAGCAGGGAGGGGGTTTAACCCGGAAGTGGCTCGACACCGCAGGGGCGATCAGATGTCAGAAAAGTGCGGCTGGAACCGGAGAATCAGGAAAACACCACTTGGGGACCTGGTATCGAAATACTCCGGGTTAAAGCAGTTTTGAGCCGGAAAGCGATGGCTGGGGAAGGGAGGCAGATGTTGACGGAGTGATCGCGCAGATAAAAGCCGCTTCTGAGGTGGGCCGAAGGCGGACTAAACGGCCCGTCTGACCGCACCCACAGTCTTATTGGCTGCATTCCCTTACCCTTTTCCATCTTTCTACAGTCTTTCACCGGGAAATCGTGTCCGAAATGGGGGCGCTGGGTGTCCTGGGTCCCACCATCAAAGGTAATACGCTCCTCTCCCTCATCCTCTTTCTTCCTCTGTGTGGCACGGAGTGGGCCTGTCGTCACTGGTCAGAAGTGCGCGGGAAGAACCCCTTAGCGGGGGGTTCGAGCGGGGTAATAAATCGAACGATAAATAAATAAATAAATAAAGAAGCGGAGGCATTGCTTGGAGAAGCTTGCGTGCTTCTAGGGGTCGCAGGTTCGCGGTTCAAAGTCCCTCTTTCTTCTGTGAGCTTCTACACAGAAGTGGTTAATAGATAACTTAAATATGTTGAGGGTACGATGGAGATAATAACAGAGCAATGTTTTGTAAGTGTTCTAATACGTTGCTCGGCTGTGTTATTTTGATAACCGCTAGCTTGCGTCCCAGCTCATTTTGTGAATGTAGAGGGTTGGTTTCGAGACTGATAGAGAGCCAGTGTGGTGTAGTGGTGGAGAAAGAGGGACTGGTATCGGGGAGACCCGGGTTTGAATCCCAACTCGTATCATGGAAACTCGCTGGGTGACCTGGGACAAGCGATACGCTCTCAGCCTAGCTGACCTCACAGGGTTGTTGTGTGGATAAAATGGAGGAGAGGGGAAGGCTGTAAGCCCCCTTGGGCCCCCACTGGGGAAGAAGGCAGGCTACCAATGAAGGAAAGAATTAAATATTTTGTGCAATGTGATGACTTTTAAGCTGTCTTGGCTTCTATTGGAAGGCCCAGTTAAAAAACAAATACGTTTTTGGGGTTCGTGGCCAGTGAGCGAGCAATTGGGCTCCTGCATAAATTAGTTTGCTCTGGAGCCCTCCGTCCTGAGCAGAGACAAAAATGTGTGAGCCGGAGGCTAAAAAACTGTGAGCTACCTCACACTCACTCAGCTTAGAGGGAACACTGTGAATCGTGGCATGGTGGGCATGACTGGCTCACTTTTGAATTGATCGGTCTATTTAGGTTTTTTAACTGACCTCTGAAATATTTCTCTGTTCAGTTCTAATATTGGCCGAAGCCGTATAATTCCTTTACATTGCCTGATCAGGCTACCCTGATCTCGTCAGACCTCAGAAGCCAAGCAGGATCGGCCCTGATCAGTGTTTGGATGGGAGACCTCCAAGGAAGCCCAGGGTTGCTACGCAGAGGCCACCTCTGAAACGTCTCTTGCCTTGAAAACCCTACAGGGCTGCCACAAGTCAGCTGTGACTTGACGGCAAAATAATAATCATAATATATGATTTTTAAAATATGTGATTACCAATGCTCCCTCTGAGCTGTGGAGTCTTGTGAGCAAAAATAATACCTTGTGAGCTCCTGGGCATTAAAGTTGGGAGCGGGCGATTGGGCTGCTGCATAAATTAGTGTGCTCTGGGGCCCCATCCTTCCTGAGCTAAGATAAAAACGTGTGAGCCGGAGGCTAAAAAACTGTGAGCTAGCTCACTCTGACTCAGCTTAGAGGGAACACTGGTGACTACATAGCTTTTTTTAAATGCTATTCTAAAATGCATTGATAAGCGACGTGTTCATAATCATTGCTCTTTGGTGGAATTTATCAAACGATTAACCTGCCTGGTTTCACTTTTGGAGAGCCATCAGGGAGCTTTAGTTGCTGTAGATTTCCCGGGTTGTGTGGCCGTGGTCTTGGCATTGTAGGGCCTGGCGTTTCGCCAGTAACTGTAACTGGTATCCTCAGAGGTATAACACAGAAGGATGGAGCACTCTCTGTGTCAAGGTGAGAAGAAGAAAAATGGTAGGCAGGCAATTTATATCTACTCCAGAAGGTGGGGCCTTCGACAACAGTCAGGGAGCTGTTGAATAGTTCTGGGGTGGGTTTGAGTTACGGCTCGCGTGTTGAGTGCCCGCCTTCATTTCCCATAGGTTACGGCTGTGCGGGGACTACCTATGTGGCCTACGGGCTCCTGGCGAGGGAGATCGAGAGGGTGGACAGCAGCTACCGGTCGGTCATGAGTGTCCAGTCGTCTTTGGTGATGCACCCGATTTATGCCTACGGGACGGAGGAGCAGAAGCAGAAATATTTGCCACGCTTGGGTGAGTGAAGGGGCTTGGGGAACCGGGACAACGGAGTGGGGGTGGGTCTAGTTTCTTCCCTGTAGTGCCGTCACAGTTTGTTTTCAACGAGTGGCCTGGATGTGGCTCAGAGGTTAAGACGCCAAGCCGCAGACCGGAAGGTCTGTAGTTCGGCAGTTCGAGTGCCGAGGGATGGAGTGGCCCTTGATCATCCTCGCCGCTCTCTTCTGCACCCGCTCTGTTCTGTCCACACCCTTTTTGAAGTGAAGCCTCCAGAACTGCACACAGGACTCCAGGCGCGGCCTGACCAATGCAGTGTACAGCGGGACTATGACGTCTTGCTATTTGGATGTTATTCCTCTGTTGATACACCCAAAGATCGCATTAGCCTTTTTTGTCACCACATCACACTGACTGCTTATATTTAACTTTCGCTCCACCCGTACCCCAAGATTGTGTTCACACTTTCAGTCCACCCGTACCCCAAGATCTTGTTATTACTTATTGCAGTAATAAACGATATTCTTGACTCTCTGCCATTTCACATTGGATATTGAACAAAGTTTGAGTCCGGTGGCACCTCTAAGACCAACAAAGGTTAATTCTGGGTAGAAGCTTTTGTGTGCACGCACACGTATCTGAAGAATTGTGCTTACACACGAGAGGCTTATGCCCAGAATTAAACTTTATGGATCTTAAAAGTGCCTCTGGACTCAAAAATTTGTTCTGTCGCTTCAGACCAACATGGTGACCCCACCTGAATCTATCTCATTGGCTGTTGCTGTTCTAGACCACTGACAACGTCTGTCCTTTCCGCACCTTGCACTCTCAGCGTTACAGTTTGCTGATTGGTCATTTCTTCGCCTCTTTCTTGTCTGTCGTACCATGAAGTCCAGATGAACCATCCGTTTCTTCCTTCTGACTTTCTGGTTGTTCCCCAGTTTCCTTTCCTCTTTCTTCTTGCTTTTCGAGCGTGCCTTGCTTTTAACTGCATGGGTGTGTGTATTAAGTGGCCTCAAATCACTTCCGGCTCGTGGCCCACCCTCAGGAATCCATAACTTCCAAATCCTCCTGTCACGAACAGCCTCCCTCTGGTCTTGCGATCGGAGGGCCTTTGTGGCTTCCTTGCTGGAGTAAATCCATCTCCTGCTGTGTCTCCCTCTTTCCCACTTTCCTTGCATTGGGGTCTTTTCATCTTTCCATAATGTGACCAAAGTATGATACTCATTTTAGCTTCTGGGTCATTTTAGCTTCTAGGGAGATTCAGAACCCAATTCTTTGTCTTTTTGGCGTATCTGTAAAACTCTCCTCCATCGCCACATTTCAGAGGAACCCACTTTCTTCCTCTCCACCTTCTTCATTGTCCAACTTTCACACCTGTACATAGTAGTGGGGGATACTCTGGCATGAATTAACTTGATCTTGGTTGCCAGCCACATGTCCTTACACTTCAGGGTCTTATCTGAGCCAGTTTGGTGTAGCGGTTAAGTGTGCGGACTCTACTCTGGGAGAACCGGGTTTTGATCCCCCACTCCTCCTCCACTTGCACCTGGCTGGATGACCTTGGGTCAGCCACAAGTCCTTTCAGAGCTGTTCTCTCAAGGGCAGTTTCTGTCAAGAGCTCTCTCAGCCCCGCCTACCTCACAGGGAGTCTGTTGTGGGGAGGGGAAGGGAAAGGAGTTTGTCCACTTGCACCTGCTGATGTGACCTTGGGTCAGTCACAAGCTCTGGCACAGCTGTCCTTGAAAAAGAGCAGTTTGTGTCAGAGCTCTCTCAGCCCCACCCACCTCACGGAGTTGGTAAGCCGCTCTGAGACACCTTTGGGTAGTGAAGGGTGGGGTATGAATCCAGTCTCCTCCTCCTCCTTCTTCCTCTTCTTCCTCTTCCCCTTCCTCTTCTTCCTCTTCTTCCTCTTCTTCCTCTTCCTCTACTTCTTCCTCTTCCTCTTCTTCTTCCTCTTCTTCTTCTTCCTCCTCCTCTTCCTCCTCCTCCTCCTCCTCTTCTTCCTCCTTTTCTTCTTCCTCTTCTTCCTCTTCCTCTACTTCCTCCTCTTCCTCCTCCTCCTCTGCCTCCAGGGCTGCCCCAGTCTCATTCTTTAACTACCACAGCTAAAGGCTACTCCCTTTTCTCCTGAGAAATTGCGTTCCCTGGCAGACCAGCACTTGGGGGTGCTAATACATTACTGTCGAGAGAGTGGGGGAAAGCCAGTGTGGTGCTTGGGGGGGAGAGGGAGAGGGGAAGGATTTGGCTGGACTGGGAGAAGGGGTGCCTGGGGGGGGGGGGTCAGTGGGTGCTCACACTCTTGTCCTTCTCCCTACAGCCAAGGGGGAATTGCTGGGCTGTTTCGGGCTCACAGAGCCCAACCACGGGAGTGATCCTGGTGGCATGGAGACCCGGGCCCGATACAACCCCTCCAATAAGACCTACATCCTCAACGGCACCAAAACCTGGTGAGATCCTGCGGCAGAAGGGGGGGGGGGAGCCCCAGAGCTGGCAACAGCAAGAGGCTAAATTTGGGGAGGGGGCGTTAGACAGATGCTGCGGAAAGCTCCTCAGCTGGTTTGGTGTCGTGGTTAGGAGCACGGACTCTAATTTGGGAGAACCGGGTTTGATTCCCCACTTCTCCTCCACTTGCACCTGGCTGGATGGCTTCGGGTCAGTCACAAGTTCTCTCAGAGCTGCTCTCTCATGAGCCGTCCTCGAAAGAGCTCTCTCAGCCCCGCCTCCCTCCCAGGGTGTCTGTTGTGCGGAGGGGAAGGGATCGTAAGCCGCTCTGAGACTCCAAGTGAAGGGTGTGGTATAAACCCAATCTCCTCCTCCTCTTTGGGCAGGAACGTGTTTCCAGAACAGTCCTGTTGGGCCTGCTGACGTTTGGTTCGGTCCACCAGAGTCCTCGGTTTCTGTCAGGGCTGTTTCTGGGGGGTGTCCCATGCCTTTGACAGCGGCTGCGTTTTCTCTCAGGATCACGAATTCTCCCGAGGCGGACCTGTGCGTGGTGTGGGCCACGTGTGAGGACGGCAAAGTGCGGGGCTTCCTCTTGGAGCGCGGCACGAAAGGGCTCTCCACGCCGAAGATCGAGGGCAAGTTCTCACTGCGGGCGTCCATCACGGGCATGATCGTCATGGAGGACGTGGAGGTGCCCGAGGAGAACCTGCTGCCCCACGTCTCTGGACTCGCTGTAAGACCCCCCTCCCTCCTCTCACGTGTGTTTGGATCATCACCTGTTTGGTGCCGTGGTGAAGTGCACGGACTCTAATCTGGGAGAACCGGGTTTGATTCCCACTCCTCCTCTGCTTGCACCTGGCTGGATGGCCTTGGGCAAGCCATAGCTTTGATAAGAGCTGTCCTTGAAAAAGAGCAGTTTCTGCCAGAGCTCTCTCTGCCCCGCCTACCTCGCAGGGGGTGTCTGTTGTGGGGAGGGGAAGGGAAAGGAGACTGTAAGCCGCTCTGAGACACCTTCAGGTAGTGAAGGGCGGGGTATAAATCCATTCTCCTCTTCTTCTTCACACCAGTTTGGTGTAGTGGCTAAGTGTGCGGACTCTAATCTGGGAGAACTGGGTCTGATTCCCCACTCCTCCACTGGCACCTGGCTGGATGACCTTGGGCAAGCCGTAGTTCTGATAAGAGCTGTCCTTGAAAAAAAGCAGTTTCTGTCAGAGCTCTCTCAGCCCCACCTCCCTCACAGGGTGTCTGTTGTGGGGCGGGGGAGGGAAAGGAGTTTGTCAGCCGCTCTGAGACTCCTTTGGGTAGTGAAGGGTGGGGTATAAATCCAATATCTTCTTCTTCTTCTGGGAGAAGTGGGTTTGATTCCCCACTCCTCCACATGCAGCTATTGGGTGACCTTAGGTCAGTCACTGTTCTCCCAGAGCTGTTCTCTCAAGAGCAGTTTCTGTCAGAGCTCTCTCAGCCCCACCTACCTCACAGGGTGTCTGTTGTGGGGACGGAAGGGGAAGGAGATTGCAAACTGCTCAGACTCTCAAGTGAAGGGCGGGGTATGAATCCAATCTCCTTCTCCTCCTCCTCCTAGTTCTCCTCCTCCTCTTCTTAATCTTCTTCTTCTTCTTCTTCTTCGTGTTGGGGGGGAAAACTAATAAAAAGGTAAATGATGGATGGATGGATAGTAAAGCTGGAGATTGGAAACAAAAAATGGAAAAGAAAAAAGATGAGGGAGCAGATCAGAAAAATTTATGTGTGGGGGAAAGAATGTGCCGGGGGAGAAACAGAAGAAGGAATGTGTGTGGAATGGAGCGAAGGAAAGAGGCTGCCAGGGGGAGGGGAGATTTGGGGGGGGGACTGCACATGTTGCGGGGGGAAGAGGTGTGGGTCAATAAGCCCCCCCCCCGGTGCGTTCTAGGATATATTCTGGTGAGGATGGTTTTAGACATTATAAAAATATTCCTGCAGCTCATCTTCAGTGCTTTCAATCAAAGACACCTTTTACCTTTGGAAAAGCAGCCTGGCATGTTACATACGTTCTGGGGCACCCTGATATGTGGCATGCCCTCTTTCTCAGGGTGGCCAGGGGTCCTGCCCCCTCTTAAGGAGATGCTTTTTATTTATTTATTTATTTATTTATTTATTTATTTAAAAGACGGGCATTGAAACAGGCACCCAGTTGACTCGGCAGTCCTCAACACGGACCTTTCTGTCGGTGTGCAGCCCATGTTTCCCCGCCTCTGGGCAAGCAAATCCAGTTGGGTGCTTATGCGGCTTGCTGCGTAGAAGAGCACATTCAAAGTCCATTATAAAAACAGGGAAATATGACGGACAGCGATACCCTTTTGGAAGAACCCATCCCAGTGGGTTGTAGAGAGCCCCTTTTCAGGCCGGGGAACGGAGGAACAGAACTCGGTTCTTTGCGCCGGACTGGACTCCAGTAGAACCTTAGAGACCAGTAAGATGGTCAGGGTGTGAACTTTTGAGAGTCAGCGCGCCTACCCTGGAAAGGTGCTCCTGGACTTTCTGAAGCTCGGTTCTGTGTTGAAGCTGAGGTGCCGTCTTCTTCCCGCAGGGTCCCTTTGGGTGCTTGAACAACGCTCGCTACGGGATCGCCTGGGGAGCGCTGGGAGCGGCTGAGTTCTGCATGCAGACGGCCAGGCAGTACACCCTGGACCGGTAAGGCCCCGTGTAGTAGGGGGAATCAGGCTTCTAGGTGAATACTTATTAGAGATTGGGACAAAGGTATGATGATATTATACCCTGGTTTGGTGTAGTGGTTAGGAGCGCGGAGTCTAATTGGGGAGACCCGGGTTTGAGTCCCCTCTCCTCCACGTGCAGCTGCTGAGGTGATGTTGGGTCAGTCACAAGTTCTCTCAGAGCTGTTCTCTCAAGGGCAGTCCTCAAGAGAGCTCTCTCAGCCCCACCTACCTCACAGGGTGTCTGCTGTGGGGAGAGGAAGGGAAAAGAGATTGTAAGCCCCTCTGAGACTCCAAGTGAAGGGCAGGGTATAAGTCTAATCTCCTCCTCCTCCTCCTATTTTTCATGGCGTCTAGTAACTTCCTTATGTAGTTTGAGTCCCCACTCCTCCTCCACACGCAGCCAGCTGGGTGACCTTGGGTCAGTCACAAGTTCTCCCAGGGCTGTTCTCTCCAGGGCAGTCCTCGAAAGAGGTCTCTCAGCATCACCTACCCCACAGGGTGTCTGTTGTGGGGAGGGAAGAGAACGGAGTTTGTAAACCGCTCTGAGACTCCGAGTGAAGGGCAGGGGGGTATAAATCCAATCTCTTCTCTTCTGTGTTGCTTCCCAGGCGCCGCTCTTTGTTCCGGGGTGGGAAAACTACCCCCCCCCCCCGCCACCTTTAATTCCAGAAGGGAGTTTTCAGGCCCTTGTTCACTGATTTGTTGAGATCCACTATGGGGACTGAAATGAAAGAAAACCGCTGGGGCAGCCCCAGCAGTGGTCTCCTGGGGCAGAAGGTCTGCTTCACCTTTTCCCAAGGGGGCCTTCCTGGCCAAAATATTCTCCAGCTGTTCCCTGTGTGGTTCCTGAAGGCCATTGGAATTGGGACACACACACACACCCCTTCTGCTCATTCCCTTGCTGGAATTCAAGAATGGGTGCTGTGTCTAGAGGAGGGTCAGACCCACACACCCCAGCCTTTGTTGCACAGATACCAGGAAGAGACAGAGCGTTGCTTACATCAAGAGTACCCATCCTCTGGCTCTAGGTTTATACCAGTGCACTAAAGCAGTCATGCAGGGTGCTTTTGGGTCTGTTTATTACTTACTGTGAGACCTTGTGTGTGCCACTTCCTAATAAAGGACTCCCAGCAGCCAGTGTTTGGGCTGCAGAAACTTTAGAAGAGGAGGAGGAGGAGGAGAAGTAGAAGAGGAGGAGGAGGAGAATGGATTTATACCCCATCCTTCACTCGGAGTCTCAGAGCGGCTTACAATCTCCTTTCCCTTCCCCTTCCCACAACAGACACCCTGTAAGTGGGGCTGAGAGAGCTCTTTTGGGAACTGCTCTTGAGAGAACAGCTCTGAGAGAACTTACGACTGACCCAAGGTCACAGCAGCAGCTGCATGTGGAGGAGTGGGGGAACCAAACCCGGTTCTCTCCGATTCGAGTCTGCGCTCTTCACCACTACACCAAACTGGCTCTCACACCAAACTGGCTCTCTTTGTCAGCTATGTAAATGGGCTTTCTTACACTGAGCTTTGGTTGATTTCCCGCTCCGAATTCTGAGAGAGTTTGGTTCTTTAATGATAAAAGGTTGCTGACCCCTGGCTTAGCGCCTTCCAACAATAAGGAGAGGCTGAGGTGTTCCGTTGCAAACGCACACATTGAAGGAGAGTGCTCTTCTCTAATGATTAGGGTTGCCAACCTCCAGGTGAGGTCTGGAGGTCTCCCAGAACGACAACTAATTTCTGGCCAACAGAGATCATTTCCCCAGGAGAATATGGCTTCTTTGGAGGTGGACACAATGCCCCCTCTAAGCTGTGGAGTCTTGTGAGCAAAAATTCTACTTTGTGAACTGCTGGCATTAAAGTAGTGAGTGCGTGATGTGGCTCCTGCATGAATTAGTTTGCTCTGGAGCCCCCTCCTTCCTGAGCTGAGAAAAAAAAAAGTGTGAGCCGGAGGCTAAAAAACTGTGAGCCGGCTCACACTAACTCAGCTTAGAGGGAACACTGGACTCTGTGGTACTGTACCCTGCTGAGGTCCCTCCCCTCCCCAAACCCCACCTTCCCCAGGCTCCATCCCATAATCTCCAGGAATTCCCTCATGTGGAGCCGTCAACCCTACCAGTGATACATGTGCCACTGAGTGCAATCCTGGTATGTTCACACACTCACACTCAAATTGCCTGATGCAATTCAATCAGTTTAATTGTGCTATGGACTAAGCCGTCTTCTCTCATCACCCGATGGTTATCTCCCAGGATCCAGTTTAATGTTCCCCTGGCAAGAAACCAACTGATCCAGAAGAAACTGGCCGATATGCTTACGGAGATCACCATTGGCTTACACGCGTGCCTCCAGCTGGGCCGTCTGAAAGATGAAGACAAGTACGTGTGCGTGCGGGAGAAGTAGAAGATTGTTTTGTGCTGTAGCATTAGTCCAGGGTCCTGGGTTTCCACTCGGAGCAAATGACTTTGCCCTTCTAAGCCTACCTGTGGAACTAGGTCACAGGTGTCTGGCGGACTGGGAGGAGGAGGAGGAGGAGGAAGAAAATGGCTCTTGAGTGGGTCATAGGGTCCATATTTCCATTTCAGCGCATGTGCCAGAGGTACAAAAGCTCTTCCCTGTGTCGTTCCAAAGGCAGCAAGATGGGAATGAAAGCAGTTGTGCCCCCTGGTGCTAGAATTAAATGTACAGCTTCTGAGTATATACGGAGAATCACAGTTTTGAATGCTGCTTAGTTTGCAGGGTTTTGAAGGCAAACACTGCAGGGGGTGGACTCTGCTGGAACCTTTCTCTCTCGCGCTGTAGTCCAGGGCCCCCCGACATGGCGCCCGTGGATACCAGCGTACCCACCAAACAGCTTTCCTGGCACCAGCTGTTTTTAGAAAGTGGGTTGGGGGATCAGATGGGACTTTTGCCCTGCAAGGTCATTGGAGAACCGGTTGGCTGTGCAGATTTTTTTTTTAAAAAAATTGCGTTGGCAGCACCTGCCACCACAGCACGAGGCTCTTCACTGCAAGACTGAAGGGAAGCTTTGCTTATGCAAGGAAATATTTGAAAACGAGACGTTCATTTTAAGTGGCATCCTGTTAAGCGGAGATTCTGCCTGCAGTGTTGAAGGTTTACGAATGGTTATGTGTAACCTGATTCCCTGACATGTTGTGGTTGGCTCCACCCCCTATGGTAGCCATTAAGGGGTTGGCTCCACCCCTTATGGTAGCCATATTGAATGCCGCCATCACCTGTATTGTTCTTAGTAGCACTTTATGATGTTCATGTGAATTTTATTGTATTTATTGTTTTATTGCATTTTAACATCTGTACGCCGCCTTGAGCCAGTTTGTCCAGTGAGATGGGATATAAATTGAAATAATAAATAAATAAATAAATTTTGTGGTTGGCCCCACCCCCGATGGTAGCCATTTTGTGGTTGGCTCCACCCCCTATGGAAGCCATTTTGTGGTTGGCTCCAGACCCTATGGTAGCCATTTTGCGGTTGGCTCCACCCCCTATGGTAGCCATTTTGCAGTTGGCTCCACCTCCTGTAGCAACCATTTTGCGGTTGCGCTCGGCACCCTGTGTCAGAATTCCAGAGGTGTCCGCAGGCTCACAAAGGTTGGGGACCCGCCCTTTTCTAGTTCTTTAACTGCAAAGAAGTTTGTGTGTGTTTTTAATGGGAAGGAGCATTTTTTTAAAAAAGCATTTACCATCTGCAGCCTGATGTGGTCCAGTCCGCTTTCTGGCACCATGTTTTGCTGCATGGATAGATCAGGCCACAAGCAAGCAGTCCATACCCCGTCTGTAGTAAGAATGTGCTGCGTGCCCTCTTCTCGATTCCAGAAAAAGGAAACTGTGCAAAAATTGCTGCAGTTTATATCACAAAAGTCTATATTTCCATGTAACGCCGAAAGTCCATTTGCTTTTTTTCATGTTTTATTCATGCCATGGAATAAATTCCACTCATGCCACGGAATAAACTCTAATACATGTTTTCACAAAGCAGGCAAGCTAAGGGTGTTATGATTCGCTTGCCTGCTTTGTGAAAACATGTATTAGAGTTTATTCCGTGGCATGGATTAGAAACGGTATATTTTGAGAATGGAAGGATGGCTCTTTGAACAATAAGGAATGACATCTTTGTGTAGTTGATCTTTGACAAAGGCTCTACAAAACGGAAATGGTTAATCCGGAGAGTTTC